AGGTAATAAAAATTTATATATAGAACACGTAATTAAAACTAAAAGTCAGCCAAAAGTCGAAGTTAGTGGAAAAACAGATCAGAAGGGAGTCTAAATATCACAATGCACTCAGAAAAACACAGAAAAATTGCTTATATATACAAACACAATACTATAGACTAAAGCCCTTCCCTAGCCGGACAACGACACCAATCAAACCTCGACGGCGACTCCACGACCGACCACCCTGCAGACCGGCTCACGGCCCAAGTTTCAGGACTAGAAACCAATGTTTTAAATACAGTACCGGTGACCATACCGTACGAGCCACCGGTACGCGGTTCAACCGGTTTTACCATCTATTTTACCGGTTTTAATAAATATTAAATTAATCTATTATTGTGATATAAATAATATATAAAACTAACTATAATAAATACTAAAATTATCTAAAGTCAAATAACAATGTAAATATATTAGATTTAAGTGTAGAATTTTCTATTTATACAAATAAATTAATAAAAATATGTTATAAAAATATTTTTTTTAAAAAAAATCCGGTATGCACCGGTATTTTAGCCGATATTTTGGCCGGTAAAATCGGTATTTTCCGGAATAAACCGGTATTTTGGAGGTAATCATACCGGTTGGACAACCGAATCCGGTATTACCGGTAATGCCGGCCAGTACATACCGGTATTTAAAACACTGCTAGAAACTGCAACACACGCCTAACTGGAGTCGAAACCTAAGGCACACTGACTTTGCGCCTAGACTGTCGACCCCAACCCCTCAGGTGGAGGACAGCCGAAACAATCCCCCAACACACCACAACTGCCCTGAGCCTAGCCCACACCACGGGCCAGGGCCCGACACGCATGACATTCCCTTATCCCTAACACCAAAGGAGAAGGGAACAAGGAGAAGGATGCCCACCAATCTCCGTCCCGACCATCGACACTCAACAATCGGACCCGCAACCCGCCGTCGCACCAACACCGAGCCCGCCACCGCCACGACACCATGGAATCCGACGACCATCGTCCCGAGATGGGGACCAGATAAAGAAGGCGAATACCATCCGGGCACGCCATCCACTCCACACACGCGAGAAGACGAGCCCCGACACCAAATTGAGGCCGCGTCACACAACCAGAAACCTGTTAGATATGCTGTAAAAGTTTGGCTTTCAGATATTAATAATACCATTTTGATCTGGCAATCATATTTTAGTCAAAGTATATATGCTTGCAATTTATTTGTTATGCAATCATACTCTTGTCTTACATTGAGATGGTGTGGTTCGTGGTGTCTCGAACGGAAAGGTACCTATCAGTTCCTTGTAAGACTAAATTATTTGTTCACAGTCTAGACTGGCAGTGAGACCCCACTCGAAAAAAGACTGTAGTGTATTCTTGATTCAGTTGACCTTGACTGGAGAATTACACTAGTACTTATGTTAAGTATTGAACAGGACCACCGGAAGGATAAGATTATGAGACTCACTGATCGTTGTTGTAATCTATACCTTCAAGGATTGATGCGTTCTCTAAAGCCATAAGATAATATAAAATAGTCGTGTATATTCATTACTTGTTTATTTGATTTACCAAGGGTGATTCCTATTTTATTAGGATGACATACTCGGTACTTTGGTAAATAAGAGTGATTATATGACGAGCTATTATAAATTATTTATGGTACCGTGTTCCAGTGCGCTGGACTGATGACGTCCCTGAAATGAGCTCAGGAAGGAATATTGTGTTAAACCCTGCAAGTGGATATTTATCCGACACAATGATTAAAGTTCTGAGTGCTACTAATTTCGGAAATGAATAAGAAGTCGATTAATTATCTTGTTAGTACTTTAATTAATCTACGGACGTTATATCTTAAACATGGAGAGGTAAATTGGTCAATCAGATTAACATTTATTAATCAAGTGGAGGTTTAATTTAATTGATTAAATTGGAGCCAAATGGGGAGAGCAATAATAATATTCTAGTGTGATATATTATTATTATTTAATTTTATTAGGATTTTAGGAATTAATTTTATTTTATATTTATTATTCCAAGACTTAGAGAATATTCCTTCTAGAATGTCACCTAGGGTTAGGAGACTAGAGAGTCTTCTAGAAGGTGATGTTAGGAGAAAGGAATCATAACCTAATATGGATTAGCTTATGGAGTAGAATTAGGATTCCTTGACCTAATGGGATAAGCCCATATTTGGCACCTCCTTAAGGTCCCTAATAGAGCCTATAAATACACCATGTCCCAACCTCTTGAGAACATACATGAGGGCCGAATTTTCTCACTAGTAATAGAGAGAGAAAATAGTCTTGTTCGAGAGTTAGGGAGATTCAGTTAATCGCACCACCAAGATTAATTGAAGTAGATGTTTAGGTAATCCATTAGAAGGCTTTAAGGTGAGATTTATTGAACCTTCAAAGCTATATATATTTCCGGCCATCTTTCCCAGTCAGTCGCCGCCGCCCGTTGCCGTCGACCACCGCCGGAAAACCACCGCCGCCGCTAATCGCCGCCCAGACCTCGCCCGAGCCCAGCCGCGCGCTACCGCGAGCCCCGCCCGCAACCGCGCACA